AGTGGCATTTTTGTAAATGAACACCTCTAAATAGCATTTTTGCAAATTTGCACATAAAAATGGCATTTTTGCAATTTCCCCTAATATTTATCTAATATATAAAAGAATAATATGAAAAACAAATATCCTATTAGTTGTTTAGACACTTTTTTTTTGAAAAAAATAGTTAGCTCTTAGGTCCTAGCCAATTTTTAACATAAAATATAAATAGTCAATTTGTCCAATAATTATATTGGGCTCAAAATAAAGAATATAGTCATAATACTTAAATAATTCACTAAGTAACTATTGTATGTACTGTTTATCACTGTTTAGATATAAAAATATTAAAATAGCCTTCCTCACTTTTCAATCTCTCTTTTTCATTCTTTCTCATGATTTGTTGTTTCTTTTTTTTTTTGAATATATTAATGCAATAATTTGATTCTAAAAAACTATTTTTTTTGGTTCTAACATGATTAGAATTTTTAAAAACACATGTATTTCTAAAAACAGCGAATATTTTTTTTTAAGAACAAGTTCAACTATACTATACAAAAGTAAAAAATAGTATAGACTTAAAGCACAATTAAAGAACAAAAATCATCCACCAATATCTCTGATTTAAATCTTTAGAAAACTAATCCACCAACATCCGAGTTTAAATTACAAATTTAGTGTTTAACTTTTTGGTGTTAAGTTCAAACTTTAAAATTTACGGTTTAATTGTAAATTATATTGTTAAGTTAGAAAATTATATTTGGTACATAGACCAACAATATCATTCTATTTTATTGATATTGTGTTACATAGAATAGAAGGTTGTATAATTAGTTACCATGCATATTCTTATACAATTAATTTATGTCCATTTAAAAAAATTGAATTACAATATATGCAGAAAAATATAAGGTTTATCATTATGTTTACAAAATTATATCAATATATTATACAAAGATCAAAGTTCAAAAAAATCAAAATGAAGGAGTAAAAGAAGAAAGAGAAGAGGGATAAGGGTTTTTGGGAAAGAATACATTTTACATAGTGTGTATTATAACCATCAATTAATATGGTTATTTGGCAAATTATAAATATTTTGATGGCTACTTTTGCCAATTCCTCTACTATAAATATTTCTTATCTAAACAAAATGATTGATTTCACAAGTTAAGTTATTAGGTTCAATAAATTTTTGAGTGAGTGGTTGACTTGACTTTGTAAATGCAAGAGGCGTGTTCGATGGGATAGGGTTTTAAGTGCGATGTCATTGACCTTGACTTCTACTCTTTGTTCATTCCGAACCATACGCTATAATTCTCCAATTTCATTCGGTCTCATAGAAATTTACAAGTAGGTGGTTCACTTCAAATGACACATGAAGTTATACTTTTTTTAATGGACAAGAAGAAGACATCAAAAAGACATAATGCTTCAATAAGGGTTTCATTCTATGAACTTTTTCCAAATGTCAATAGCCATTGTCTTTTTTACCAAGTTTTCTAATGAATATATAACATGACACCATTTCAACTGGTTAAATAGAAGTGTTTGAATTATATTATGCCGAAAAAAAATTAATTTATGGTCTAGACCAATAAACAACTCTTTCCTAAGTGAGAAAGATTAATTTGTTTCTTTTATATTACGGAGTGAATTCTTTCAAATATATGAAAAAAGTAAATTCATTTTTTTTCTTTTACAATTTTAAAAACATTTTCTATTCGTTCTTGTTTTGTTCATAATACAAACGTAAACGTTAAACGCAAATAAAACTCAGTTATTTTTGTGTGTATGCTATATTTTCACACTTTATGGACTATAAAATATTTTTTGAGTTTTTTTTTCCAGAAAATGGTTCTGTAAAATGTAAATAAAATAGCATAATTTCTATCATTTTGCGTTTATAAAAATCCCTAAAATGGTTAAGGTTCTTTTTTGGTAAAATTAAAAAAAATATATTATATAAAAGAGGATGTGCATGATAAAGATGCGACACGTAAGCAAAATTGTAATTCACCAGATTGCAACACGTGTTTGATATTGATCGGATGATGACATGTGTTAAAAATAGATTAAATTAAGAAAAGTAAAACTAAAATTGGAAAACAAACAAAATAATTGTAAAGTAACTAACTAAATAGTAAAAAAAAAATTTCTTATTGTTCAAACTAATGAATAAAAAAGAAAATTTTTTATAAGTTCATACTAGCTAGAATAAAAAAAATCTAATAGCTTAAACTAATTATCAAATTCAATTAAGAAATAAAATAGAGAATGAGTGTAAACCCT